CAACCCTAATGTAGGTACTTAATAGGCATTTAATTTAGGGCTTGTTTGTGATTGGGTTAGTGATATTTAGCCTTGTTCATGCTTGAATTCAAGAATTAATGGTTGCAAACATTGATTCATTCCTATTTGACTTAGTCTCTACTTGAGAAAGAGAGACTAAGTCTAGGAAAACTTGGCTAACAAGAAATTGGGGTGAACTCAAGAAATTGATAGCCCCAATTAAAGGGTCAACTCTAGAGATAGTAAGACCCGACTTGAGCATATATCACTTGTTTTGTGCAATACCCATTTGGAATTCAGAAAGCCAAATTGGGAAAAATCACTCAAACTACCGAGAGGTATAGAGTGGGTAATTGCGTGTGATTGCTATATTACAACTCCGACTAATCAAACTTGCCCTAGAGTTTACAACCCGTTAGGTAACCACCTAGGTGGAAGTCAGGACCCTAGATCTTTTATCATTTGAAAAACAACCAAAACCAAAAATTTTGTCTCCTAGTTTCATATTTGCAATCAATAGCTTAAAGTAGAAGTAAAAACAACAAACAAGAATGTAGAAGTGTAATTTGAGGCACATCATACAATTGCACTAAATATATACCTAATCCTAATTCTAACTCCCTGAGGATTCGATCCTGACTCGCGTTAGGTTATATCATTGCTTCGACCGCCTCACTACGTATATTTGCGGTGTGAGTTTGGGCGACATCACTAGTGTCTACCCAAAAACCCCCAATTCCACCATGAAAACTTTAGATTTTTGGTTGAAATCTTGTAAAATGTAGTGAAAGATTGAAAGAAACTAGTTTAGAATCACTTACCAATGATTTGGGGAAGAAAAGTTCTTTGGAAAATCGCCTCTAAGGTTTTAGGTTTTGAAAATTTCTTTGGGAGTTTTAGGTTTTACCCAGCTGCAGATCACAAATGCGAGAAAAGCTTGGCAAATGCAAAACTCCCACACTTTTGATGCCTTCGCAAATGCGAACAAAATGTTCACAAATGCGGAACCTGAGGATTACAAATGTTACCCATGTCTTCGCAAATGAAAAGAATCCCTCCCAGACTTACTTCGCAAATGCGAAGAATGTTTCGCAAATGCGAAACCTATGTGGCCCAGCTTCTCTTCGCATTTGCGATGAGAAGCTCACAAATGCGAACCCCTCAGAGGTCGCAAATGCGACGCCTGATCTCGCAAATGCGAGATCAAAGGCCTGCAACAAGATCAGATATACCAACAATCTTTCCAAGTCAATTTTCACTCCGTAGCCTATTCGAAACTCACCAAGCCCTCGAGCTCTAAACCAAAAGTGCACACTAGTCTAAAAACATCATACGAACCTGCTCACACGATCAAGACACCAAAATAACACCTAAAACTATGAATTGAACACCAAATCAAATGGAATTTTCAAGAAAACTTTGAAATTTCTATTTTCACAACCGGACGTCCGAATCACGTCAAACCAACTCCGTTTCTTACCAAATTTCACAGACAAGCCATATATATGGTACTGGACCTATTTCGGGTTCCGTAACCAAAATACGGACCCGTTATCCAAAAAGTCAAACTTTGGTCAAACACTTCAAATTCATTAAGACTTTAACTTTCAAATTTCGACAAAGTCCGATATCTCGGGCTAGGGACTTCCGATTTTGATTCCGTGCATGCGCCCAAGTCTTAAATCATGATACAGACCCATCGAGACCATCAAAATACAAATCCGGGTCTTTTTACTAAAGATGTTGAATGAAGTCAACTCAAATAATGTTTTTAGGCAAAATTTCTTATTTTGTAATAGTTTTTTACACAAAAGCTTTCCAGAAAGACGCCTGGACTGTGCACGCAAATCGAGAAGGCCTAAACATGATTTTTAAGGCTTTGGATCACAGAATTAGGTTTCAAAACATGAGATGACCTATCCGGTCTGTAACACCCCGTAAATTCGGTTTAGGTGTGAATGTGGTAAATGAGTGGTAAGGTTATATTTTGAATATGTGAAGTCCTAACGGGATGATTCTGGGTAAAATAGTTGTTTCAAAAATCAAAATGGAAAGAGAGGTGCATAAGATTTGACAAAAATCGACTAATTTGCAGAAGGTCTGTCTTCCATCAAGCTTTAGTGAAAATGTGTAAGGAATTGGGAAAACTCAAAGAATGAAAGTTGTTGGCCTTTGAAATAGCTTTCAAACGATATATTACGGAGCCCGAACGGATCTCTGTGCAAAAAGTTATGTGCATTTTTCGGAACAGTACGTGTATGCGCGAACACTCGGGCGAACAAGCCTCTAGGTGCGCGAACTCGCGCGTGGGAGGCAATGTTACTGCCGTTGAGCACAAACTCTCGCGCGAACAAGCCTCCAGGTGCGCGAACTCGCACGTGGGGAGTCATTTTCAAGCTATATTTCGTCTCCCAAAGCCCCAAAACATAAAAACTTGCTCTAGAAAGGGGAACTCTCAAAAACCTAACTCCTTAAGGGTCCTTCCACCACCCAAGGTAAGTTCTAATGGTGATTCTAAGTTAATTTCACTTTTCCAACATCTTATTAACATGTTTAAACCCTCCATATCATTAGATATTCGATTGGGACATCATTGCTGAGAGAAAGAAGCCTAGAACTCGAAAATCAAGGGCTTGAACTTCGAAAAGGTAATGTCTTCACCCTCTAATTGGTTCTAGCATTGATTTAATGATTATAAATCCTAGTTCATGAGACATGAGTTGTTGGGATTGATTGAAAAGCATGAACGATTATAGGGTTGGGGTGTTGAGTGTTGATTATTGGTTAAGAGTGTTGTTTGCCTTATGGGTGATGAAGAATAATGTTGGTGTAATCATTTGAGACCTTAGAATTTATCTAGGAACAAGAGAATGGGTTGTTGGGTGTAGAGACACCATTAATAAGGACTATGAAGCTTTATTTTTTACCAAGTGTTTGACAAAATGCTTAAGTGACCAAAACATGAGCATTATAGCTAATGTAGAATCCCTGTGACTTGTATTGCTATAGATTGAAGTTGAAAGGTTTGACAAACGTTGTATTACGCTCAAGAGCAGGAAGTTAAGGTATGTAAGGCTAAATCTTTACGTTTGCGAATGTCTATGATTCTCCCTACGTCCCATTCATTAAGATCATTACCAGTCTCCTCAGAAAGGAACTATGCCTTAGTTCCCTGATCAGTAGTAGGACTTCTATTCTCTAGATGGCATAGTCTCATAATCATTTGATATTCTATGAGTTTCAGTTATGACAAATCAACTTGTTATGAATACTCATCTCAGTCTAATCCTATTCACTATTCCAGTATCATGTAACCCAGTATGGCTCATTATTTCAGTATCATGTATTGTAATATGATTCTCAGTTCCTGATTTTATATTCTTGAATGTTGAACACCTGTATTTGGGCCTGAGGCCGCAGTTTATGCTTTATGCATCTTTGGGCCTGAGGCCGCGGTTATGTATATATATATATATATATATATATATATATATATATATATATATATATATTGGGCGTGAGGCCGCAGTTTAATATTCAGTTAAACAGGTTGTTCATCATTCAGAAGAGGGAGTATTCACATCCTTACTTCCTTGTTCAGTTATCAGTTTATTAGCTAGCAGTTCAGTTTCAGTTTCAGTATTTACAGTTCTTTTGTTCAGCTATTTTACATACCAGTACAATTCAAATGAACTGACGCCCCTTTTGCCCGGGGCCTGTATCTCGCGATGCAGGTAACGATTTACATGTCGACGATTTAGCTTGCTAGGACATCTCGTATCAGCTATTGGTGAGCCCCAATCTTTCGGGGCCTTATCTCTCTTTTGTTTTAGTCATTATAGTATTTAAGTTAATAAGATATACCGGGGACCTTGTCCCGGTAAACAGTTGGCATTTTCAGTATTCTTTAGAGGCTTCGTAGACTATAACCCAGTCAGTCAGATATTAGCAGGCTTTTATGTGTTAGCCTTGTCGGCTACTTGTTTATACTTGCAGAACTTTCAGTATTTTTCCACATCTATGATATTTCAGTCAGACTTTTTAGCAGACTATCATGATTTACATTTACCTCTAGCTCATACTTATACCACATGTTGATCTATCCATACAGTTGGTTCGCTCGGTCGCATGCAGTCAGGCACCGAGTGCCGTGTTACGCCCAGGCCATAGTTCGGGGCGTGACAAAGCTTGGTATCAGAGCCCTAGATTCAAGAGTCCTAGAGAGTCTATGAAGCCGTGTCCAGTGGGGTTTCTTTTATGTGTGTGTGCGCGCCACACATGTAAACAGTTGACCACCAAGACATCTAGGATTGTTCCATTTCTTTCATACTCTAGATCGTGCAGTTAGAGATGTGCTTTCAGGAATCTTTCTAACCCGTGCGAATTGCGTATTTCAGAAAAATGCCTGCAAAAAGAAAGTACACCAGGAGGGCCTCAGCTACTAGCCAGGGGGCCACAGCTAATGCTGCTCAGGAGGAGGACACTCCGGCCCAGGGGGTTGCACCGGGTTCAGTGCCCAGTGCTTCAGACATGGATGTCAGGGGAGCTATCCAGTTGCTCACCCAGATTGTTGCTACCCAGGCTCAAAGGCAGGGGACTAGTGGTGTTCATGAGACGGGTAGTTCCAGGTCTAGGGAATTCCTCAACATGAAACCTCTCGTCTTTACAGGCTCCAAAAAGGATGAGGATCCGCAGAACTTCATTGATGAGGTTCAGAAGATATTTCGAGTGATGCATGCTACAGACACTGAGGCAGCAGAGCTTGCTGCGTACCAGCTGAAGGATGTTTCCAACACTTGGTATGAAACAAGGGAAGAGTCCCGAGGGGAGGATGCGGATCCTGCGACTTGGAAGGAGTTTGCAGATGCGTTCCTTGAGCACTTTCTACCCATTGAGGTTTGGAAGCTAAGGCTTTGGAGTTTGAGAGACTCAGACAGAATGATATGAGTGTGAATGAGTACTACCTCAAGTTCGTCTCTCTGGCCAAGTATGCTCCGGAAATGGTACGTGATATGAGGGCCAGAGTTAGGCGTTTTGTGTTGGGGCTTTTAGATGATTTGTTTGCTGATGCTAATATAGCTGCTCAGAATAATGACATGACCATCACTAAGATGGTTACCTTTGTTCAAGGGAACGAAGACAGGTTGAAGGAAGAAGAGCGGCTACGGAGAGAGAAGGAGAGGGAATTCAGCAAGAGAGCTAAGTCTGCAGGAAATTTCAGCCATGGCGGATCTCAAGCAGGAGGCAATCGCCATTTCTTCAGGAAATCAAAATCAGGACCCGCTCCATCTTCAGCTAGTGCACCGGTTCAGAGGTCAAAGATTAACAAGAAAAACTAGAATTTCAGAATAGCAGACTCACAATCACAGGCTAGTGTGGGCTACAGAGTCCCTGGTCACCCTATTTGCAACACGTGTGGTAAGAGGCACCCAGGGTTGTGTCGTTTGGGCACAAATGGTTGCTTTGGGTGCGGTCAGCAGGGCCACTTCTTGAGGGATTGTCCATCGGCAAAGCAGAACAATGGAGGCAATGTAGCTCAGTCCACTAATTCAGCAGCCCATCATAACTCTCAGGCTCAGCAAGGGTGCGGCGCAGCAAAGTCTAATAATGCAGGCGGTGGACGAAACCGCTGTATGCACTGGCAGACCGTCAGGATACAGAGGCTCGTGGAGATGTTGTCACAGGTATGCTAACAATATTCACTTTTGATGTCTATGCTCTTATAGATCCGGGATCCACCCTATCTTATGTAACCCCATATATTGCAAAGAAATTTGGGGTAGAACTAGAAAAGTTGTGTGAACCCTTTGAAGTGTCCACTCCAGTTGGAGAATTAGTTATAGCAAGGTGTATCTATAGGGGATGTCCAGTTAAAGTGCGTCATCGTCTTACTGTAGCAGACTTAGTAGAATTGGAGATGTTAGACTTCGATGTGATCATGGGCATGGATTGGTTAGAGTCATGTTATGCCAAAGTGGGTTGTAGAACCAAAATAGTATGTTTTGAATTTCCCGGTGAACCAGTCTTAGAATGGAAGGGTGATGCAGTAACACCTAGGGGTAGGTTTATTTCCTACCTTAAAGCCAGAAAGATGATCTCCAAGGGATATATCTATCACCTGGTTCGAGTTAAGGATGCAGATGCTCAGATCCCCACTCTCCAGTCGGTACCTATTGCGAATGAGTTTCCAGAAGTGTTTCCCGAAGATCTCCCTGGAATCCCTCCCGATAGAGAGATTGACTTTGGAATTGATCTACTTCCAGGCACTAAGCCGATATCTATTCCGCCTTACAGAATGGCTCCAGTAGAGTTGAAAGAGCTAAAAGTCCAGTTGAAAGACCTTCTAGATAAGGGATTTATAAGGCCAAGTGTCTCACCTTGGGGCGCACCGGTCTTGTTTGTCCGAAAGAAGGATGGGTCTTTGCGTATGTGCATTGACTATCGTCAGTTGAATAAAGTCACCATCAAGAACAAGTACCCTCTTCCCAGAATAGATGATTTATTTGATCAACTTCAGGGTGCCCAGTGTTATTCCAAGATTGACCTCAGATCGGGATACCATCACTTGAAGGTTAAGGAAGTTGATATTCCAAAAATAGCTTTTAGGACTCGATATGGGCATTTCGAATTTTTGGTAATGTCATTTGGTTTAACGAATGCACCAGCAGCTTTCATGGACCTGATGAATAGGGTCATCAAGCCTTATCTTGATTTGTTTGTTATCGTGTTTATTGATGACATCTTGATTTATTCCCGTAGCGAGACTGACCATGCCGAACATCTCAGAATTGTGTTGCAGACACTGCAGGATCACAGGCTATATGCAAAATTTTCTAAGTGTGAATTCTGGTTGAAATCAGTAGCGTTTTTGGGCCATGTCATCTCAGGGGAAGGCGTGAAGGTGGACTCTCAGAAAATAGAGGCAGTGAAGAATTGGCCTAGACCCACCTCAGTATCCGATATAAGAAGTTTCTTGGGTCTAGCAGGCTATTACAGGCGTTTCGTAGAGGGATTTTCTTCTATCTCGTCCCCTTTAACTAGATTAACTCAGAAGAAAGTCAAGTTTCAATGGTCGGACGCGTGCGAGAAAAGTTTTGAGGAACTAAAGAAGAAGTTGACTTCAGCTCCAGTCCTGACACTACCGGAAGGAACCGAGGGGTTCGTTGTTTATTGTGATGCTTCAGGGGTTGGTCTTGGGTGTGTATTAATGCAGCACGGTAAAGTCATAGCCTACGCGTCGAGACAACTCAAGGCTCATGAGAAGAATTATCCGACTCATGATCTTGAATTAGCACCTGTGGTGTTTGTGCTTAAGATCTGGCACCATTATTTGTAT